TCACAATCAGTAGCAATATGTTGGATCCAATTACGCACTTGTATTGCTAGGTCATCACTCATATTAAAATCATGAATAAGTAGAAGAGTAAGCATATCTCTTTCTTCCTCACACATCTCAACTAGATGTTGCTTGAAGAAGGTCTGGAATGATCCCATTTTCTAAAATTGATAAAAGTTGAAAATTTAATTTATGACTACCTCACACTGATGGATAATCAATTACAAGAATTAAGAGAGAAGGAGTGGAATGTGCTCTACACAACAAAGTGGAGATTTCTTGATGAAGACTGGTTAGTGCATAAACAGCAGAAGTATTATAGGAGTGAAGCTCATGAAGTAAAAGAAATAAAGCTTATCAAAGATACACTTGTAAAGCAACTTGGAATGATCCCTGTGTTCTTCTTCTTAAATGTTCTGTTTGGTGGAAAGCAGTATCCATGTCCATACAGAAATGTTGAGAAAGGACTCTTAATTTTGTACCAGTTAGTTGCTGGGCTATCAATCAATGAGATGGAGAGGTTTATTCCTAAGAGCAGCTACCAAGTGATTCATAATATGTTCTATATCTCAGAGTTAAGTGAGTTGAACAAGAAGCTTTCACACTACTTGCACACAATGTTCTCCACTCCAGAACTAAGAGTGATCTCAGCAAAGATTCAGAATCCAACAAACTTTAAGCATATAACTCTTATGTTAGATGGACATGACTCACGAGCACTACATAATGGTGCTTACAAACCAAATCTTTATTCCTTCAAGTTGAAGAAGTCAGGATATAGAACACAAGTTTGCATTGATTTGAATGGAATAGTTGTCCTTGTTTCACCAACTGAGGAATGTAGAAACCACCCAGACTCTAAGATGATTAAGAACATGTCACTATTGAAATACATCTCTCCAGTAGATTGTGTTGTTTTAGATGGTGGTTATCCTCAAAGTATTCTGGAGGAGTTAACAGAAGCAGAAGAGAATGAGAATTTTGGAATACATAACTTTTGCTTACCAGTTAGAAAGCCAAGAGGAACCAACTTAAGTGAAGCAGAGTTAGAATATAATAGCAAACTTGGGTCATTTAGATCAATGGTTGAGAGCACATTTGGAGAACTAGGTAACACATTTAAGAGACTATCAAATAGAGAAGTTGTGAGAATTAGAAACACAACTGTGTATAATGTGCAGTTTAAACTCTGTTGCTTACTCTACAATATGAAGAAGATCCTAGCAGCTAGTAAAGTTCCTGTTGAACATCACCACACACTTTGGGTTCTATCTAACTTTGACTACCCAAGCAATAACCAGGAGAGATCAACACATGCTGAAGTTGGAAGTAGTTTACCACAAAAAGTAGAGTTAGAGGCTTCAATGAGAGAACTACAAGATAGGCTGATTCAAGCTAAAATTGATGAGTCAATGAACTTTTATGTTGATATGTCATAAGTAACTATTAAAATAGGAATTTTTTACAAACTTTACTCAATGATAGAAATATCTTCAATAAGGGGGTTATGCAGAGATACTTATCTGCCCATTAACTATTTATACATGTTGAAACTATTGGCAATTTCAGTGAAATAAAAATTTCACCCAAACTACTATCAGCATCTTGGAAAAGTTTCAGTGAACATAATTTCAACTAGAAAGAAAAACTTTGCATATTTAGGGTTAATTATCATTGGGCAACAAAAGTCAATATCTCAATAGATGTGGCTAAGCAACTACAAGGAAATTATGTTCACTGAAACTTTTCCAAGATGCCGATGGCGGTTTGGGTGAAATGGCAAAAAAATATTTGTATTTTTAAAATCAATTATAAGCACAGAAACATTCTGGACACAATAATTAATATTAACCATGATAAAAATAATTAGTAGCAAAAAACTGTTCTGAAAACGATTAATCAAATATCTAACTAAGTAAATTGCAAATATCTAAAATTTACAAGTCCAGGAATGACCCCCGATAGTCAATGTACAGTCGCAAGGATCCATCTGCCTTCTTAATGAATATTAGAGGGGCTCCCTATGCAGACAAGGATGGTCAGATTAGCTCTCGACTTAGAAGGTCATTGAGGTGCTTACAGAGCTCCTGTAATTTGACAGGAGATATTCAGTATGCAGGTCAGTTAATTGGTGGTGCATCACCTGTATTGATCACCACCTCCTCAGAACGAACTAGGGGCAGGGCTAGCTGTTCTTCAGTAAACAGCTTGGCATACTCAGTCAGCAGGTCTTGGATTGGGTTAGGAATAGCTGGTTTATGGGGTTCAGGGGTATCCAAGGTATTAGAGGTCAGGAGTTCGATAGCAAATACATCAGTTACAGATTTGAGCATCTTGTTGAGTGTTGACCAGCTAATAAATTGACTGTCAGTCTGAATCAAACTCAGCTTAATAGGCTTAGAATGGAATGCAACTAAGTTCATAGGCTAATCGATCAGAGGGTTCATTTTGGTGAGTCATTTCCACCCTAACATTAGTGGGTATTTGAGATGCTCAAAGATGTAGGCATGGACAGAGAAGGTGTCATCACTTGTCACTGGGGGTCATTCCTGGACTTGTAAATTTTAGTAAATTACAATTTTATTAGATAGATATTTAAATAATCGTTTTCAGAACCATTTTTTGCTACTAGATATTTTTGGAACAGATATTTATAATTGTTGTGTCCAGAATGTTTTTATGTGTATAATTGATTTTAAAAATACAAATATTTTTTTGCCATTTCACCCAAACCGCCATCGGCATCTTGGAAAAGTTTCAGTGAACATAATTTCCTTGTGGTTGCTTAGCCACATCTATTGAGATATTGACTTTTGTTGCCCAATGATAATTAACCCTAAATATGCAAAGTTTTTCTTTCTAGTTGAAATTATGTTCACTGAAACTTTTCCAAGATGCTGATAGTAGTTTGGGTGAAATTTTTATTTCACTGAAATTGCCAATAGTTTCAACATGTATAAATAGTTGTTGTGCAGATAACTAACTCTGAATGACCTCCTAAATTTATAGTAGATACAAATACCCATATTGCCCAACTGATCCCACTCCATTTCGCATACCCAAACATCATCGAGGTCTCTAGCCTAGGTAAAACTGACAGAGGCACAAATGGGTTTGGCTCCTCTGGTATAGGTCCAGAACCTACCCATGTCTGTGCTACCTCAGAAGCCAAGTCTGACTTGGTAGAGTCGCCAGAGGACTCCTATATTAGTGATAGTTTCCTTACCAATATTGCAGAGTTCTTGAGTGGCAAGATGAAGCACACATCATCAGCAATATCTACACTTGCCAAATTCCATATCACTGATAGATATTTGTACAAGAATTCATGCTTATATATGGGGCAGAAGAAGATCAGGTGCCAGCTACTTGAAGAGTTCCATGAGTCCCATGTAGGTATGCACCTTGCTGTCGAGAAGACCTATGATAAGCTGTGCAATTTCTTTTTATTAGAGCAGGGTGTTCTTAGATATCAGAGAATTCATTGCCAGCTGCCCATGATGTGCTGAGATTAAGGGCCATGCTCATAAGTCTGGCCTCCTATAGCCAATCCCCCCTGACAGCCAACCATGGGAGGGCGTTGCGATGGACTTCATAACCAAATTGCCACTACCAGAGGGGAGATATTTAGCAATTCTTGTGGTCATTGATAGGCTGACAAAAATGGCATACTTCATCCCTACAACTAATACTGTCACAGCTAAGGAAACTGCCCAGTTATTCTATGACCATATATATTGCTTACATGGGTACCCATGCTCAATCATCTCAGATTGTGATCCCAGGTTCACATCAGCATTATGGCATTCTGTAGCCAAACTCATAGGCCCGAAACTCTGAATGAGCATAGCCCACCACCCTCAGATGGATGGTCAGACAGAGGTGACAAATAAAACACTCAAAGTGATGTTATAGGCATTTATCCATAATGTAGGCAACAACTGGAGTAAGCTACTCACCAATGCAGAGTTTGCTATCAACAGCAGCCTACACTTAGCTACAAAGACTTCGCCATTCTATGCCAACTATGGCTATGAACCCAGACAACCTGCATTCTTGGCACTTCCTGGTAATGCCCCATCTGACTACAACCCCCTTGCTTCCTCTCGTGCCAAACACCTTCGACTTGTGCATGAGGCAATCAAAGAAAGCATTGAAAAGGCTCAGGCTGCAATGAAACATCAGCACAACAAGCATTGAGATGAGCTTGTATTCACAAGGGGAGACAAAGTAATGCTCTCTACAAAGCTGACAGCCCCAACATGGCTTATGCCCAATGCTAACAAGTCCTTACTACCCTATTGGCATGGTCCATATGTAGTAACGGAAGCCGTTGGTAAGAATGCCTATCAGTTAGATTTGCCAAGTGATATCAGGATCCACCCAGTCATTTCAGTGGCATTCTTAAAGCCTGCAGTAGAATCGGCTCATTATAGGCATGAAGGGGGACTGTCAACACCAAACCCATTCATCATAGGGGGTGAGCTAGAGTTTGAAGTCGAGGCGATCTTGGACCACTGTTGCCCTCGCAAGGGGGAATCACTTTATTAAATCTGCTGGAAAGGACAGGGACCAGAGTACGATGAATGGCTGCCCGAATCCGAACTGGACAATGCACAGGAGGTGCTGCACGTGTATCTTAGCAGGCGAGAGTCCGCCGCCAGGTACAAGGGGAGAAATGCTACCCGAAAAGGTCATACCAGTGGCAAGCAGGTCGCAGCACAGCCACCAGGCAGGTCTATAAATAAGGCCAAGTAGCCCACTTGTCTCGGGTCCCAGGCTCATGACCCCGGGACATTTTCCACTCAATATATTCTCGTATACCACTATATTTCACATATTATACATTATCTGATGATGAAGATATAGTATGTAAAAGTTGAAAATAAATTTGTGACTCAATTTTGCTGTCTAGGGTATGCTCATCAATTGTTTAAGATATAGTAATTAAAGTTGAAAATTTTATGGCTCCATTAAGCTACTTAATGTATTATAAGAAATTAGTTAGGTTTCAATAGCACTGACTCACAAAGGTCCTCGAAGCAGTTAGTACATTCTTCGAATGGCTTGTAGCATCCACAGCTACAAGCTAAAGCACCGTCATCATCAATCATAGGGTTCTGTGGATCACCTGGCTGCCACCCTCGTTTGCGCTTTTTGCTACAGCAGCTGCACTTTTCTTTCTCACCACCGTTTTTGCTGCCGCCACAGCATGATGAAGCTGCTTGCCTCGGCAGCTTATCGGTGCTCAAGGTTGGCTCACAGCAAGAGTCCTGCTCCACGATGGTTTCTTGCTGCGGTAGGACTGGGAGGGAGGTGCTTGAGCAGCACGAGTCGGTGGCTACAGCTTGAACCTGTGTTATTTGCGCGGGCGGATTCCCTGTTGGCTGGCTGCTACAGCACGACGACTTGGGTGCGCTTGGGGCACGAGGGGTAGGGTCGGCCTTGACTGTACAGCACGAGCTGCTAATGGCAGTTGTGGGCAATGGAGGAATGACTCCTGCTGAGAATCCAGAGTCATCCAGTTCAGGAACATCAGCTACGGAAGACGACGACCAGGATAATGACGTGGACGAACCGCCACTGCTGGTGGTAGTCGCTGTCGAACGAATAGCAGGAGGCAGTGGCCCCAGGACGTTCTCTACCCACTCGCTGGGGTCATCATCAGAGTGAATATTGAGCTCGGACGAAGAGGCCAACGGCTGGCCAATGCGGGCTTCAATTGCGTGAATAAGCAATTCCAGCTTCTTCCCGCAGTCGCACCCGCATTTGCAATCAGGCTTCTCACCATTCTGCATTGGAACTGAGGGCCCTGAGGACACCTCGAGCATGCGTTGCGCGGAATCGCCATTAGGAACAGAGGTAGTGGCTGGTGGGCGCGATAGAGGCCGTATATCCTGACCACTATGAGCGTCAATAGAATTCGGTGCTGGCGTACTGGCAAACGGTAGCTGGTCTTTTGCGCGGGCCATCTGCTTTTCGTGTTCCCTGTGTGCAGCCAAGGGGGGAATCTTACAGCATGGCGCCGC